TAATAAAAGAAAGAATAAAAACTGGATGATATGGGCCGGCGCCGCGGCTCACTAGGCTAATCCTCTGCCTAGCGGCGCCGGCACACCGGGTTCTAGTCCCGGTCGGGGCGCCGGATTCTGTCCCGGTTGCCCCTCTTCCAGGCCAGCCCTCTGCTGTGGCCAGGGAGTGCAGTGGAGGATGGCCCAGGTGCTTGGGCCCTGCACCCCATGGGAGACCAGGAAAAGCACCTGGCTCCTGGCTCCTGCCATCGGATCAGCGCGGTGCGCCGGCCGCAGCGCGCCGGCCGCGGCGGCCATTGGAGGGTGAACCAACGGCAAAAAGGAAGACCTTTCTCTCTGTCTCTCTCTCTCTCACTGTCCACTCTGCCTGTCAAAAAAAAAAAAAAAAAAAAAAAAAAACTGGATGATTATCTCAATAGATGAACAAAAAGCATTTGATAAAATACAGCATCCTTTAATGAGGAAAACCTTAAGCCAGTTGGGTCTAGAAGAAACATTCCTCAACACAATCAAGGCAATTTATGGCAAACCCATAGTCAGCATCTTTTTGAATGGGAAAAAGTTGGAAGCATATCCACTAAGATCTGGAACAAGACAAGGACGCCCACTTTCACCATTGCTGTTGAATAGGGTCCTGGAAGTTTTAGTCAGAGCCATTAGGCAAGAAAAAGAAAGCAAAGGGATACATATTGAGAAGGAGGAAGTAAATTATCCCTATTTGCAGAAGACATGATTCTATATATAGGGGAGCCAAAAGACTGCACCAAGAGACTGTTGGAGCTCACAGAAGAGTTTAGTAAAGTGGCAGGATATAAAATCAACACACAAAAATCAACAGCCTTTGTATACACAGACAATTTCATGGTTGGAAAAGAACTTCTAAGATCAATCCAATTCACAATACCTGCAGAAAAAATTAAATACCTTGGAATACGTTTACCCAAGGTGCTGAAAGATCTCTATGATGAAAATTACAAAACATTAAACAAAGTAATAGAAAAGACACAAAAAATGGAAAAATCTTCCATGCTCATGGATTGAAGAATTACTATCATTAGAATGTTCATACTACCGAAAGCAATTTACAGATTCAATGTGATCCCAAAATACCAATGACATTCTTCTCAGATCCAGAAAAAACAACACTGAAATTCATATGCAAACACAAGAGACCCCAAATAGCTAAAGCAATCTTATACAACAAAAACAAAGCCAGAGCTATCACAATACCAGATTTAAAGACATACTACTGGACTTTATAATAAAAACAGCCTAGTACTGACACAAAAATAGACACACAGACCAACAGAAAAGAATAGAAATCCCAGAAATCAATCTATGCATCTATAAACAACTAATTTGACAAATGAGCTAAACTCAATCCCTGAAGCAAGGACAGTCTCTTCAAAAAATGGTGCTGGGAAAATTAGATTTCTGCATGCAAAAGTATGAAACAAGACCCCTACCTTACACATTATGCAAAAATCAATGCAAAAATGGATCAAGGATCTGAATCTACAACCTGATACCATCAAATTACTAGAGAAGAACATCGGGAAAACTCTGCAAGACATTGGCATAGGCAAAGAGTTCTTGGAAAAGACCCCAGAGGCACAGACAATCAAAGCCAAAATTGACAAATGAGATTAGATTAAGTTGAGAAGCTTTCACACTGCAAAAGAAACACATAGCAAAGTGAAGAGGCAACCAAGAGAATGGGAGAAAATATTTGCAAAGTATGAAACTGATAAAGGATTAATATCCAGAATCTGTAAGGAGCTCAAGAAACTCAACAACAACCAACAATCCAGTTAAGAAATGAGCAAAGGACTTGAATTTTCAAAAGAGGAAATTCAAATGGCCAACAGACACATGAAAAAAAATTTTCAGGATCACTAACCATCAGGGAAGTGCAAATCAAAACTATAATGAGGTTTTCCCTCACTCCAGTTAACACAGCTCTCATACAGAAATCAACAAACAATAAATGCTGCTGAAGATGTGGGGGAAAAGTCACCCTAATCTACTGATGGTAGGAATGTAAACTAGTAGAACCATGGTGGAAGCCAGAATGGAGATACCTCAGAAAGCTGAAAATAGATATACGATATGACCCACAAATCCTACTCCTGTGAATTTACCCAAGGAAAATGAAATCAGCATGTGAAAGAGTGATCTGTACCCCCATGTTTATTGCAGCTCAATTCATAATATCTAAGATATGGAATCAACCCAGATTCCATCCACTGATGACTAAAGAAATTATGGGATATATTCACTGTGGAATACTACTAAGCCATAAAAAAGAATAAATCCTGTCTTCTGCAACAAAATGGATGCAAGTGGAAACCATTATACTTAGTGAAACAAGCCAGTCTCAAAAAAGACAATACCACAGTTTTCCTTGATCTATGGTAACTAACAAAGTACCAAAAATGTAGTGTATAGGAGTGAAATTGACATTTTGAGCTCCAATGATTGTGTGCAGTCTTTGTCTCTACTATTAAGGAACAGCATTTGTTTCTTCTTACTATTTATTGAACTCTTTATTTAGTTTAGGGTTAATTCTATGAGTATAAAGTAAACTCAAAGTTTATCAGTGTAAAAATTCAAAGACTAGAACAGGCAATAGGAGGAAAGTTAGGAGCATGGACAGGAGCAGAATAGGGTGGAAGGCATCACTATGTTTCTAAATCTATATACATGAAATTTGTATATTTTTTTTTTTTTGACAGGCAGAGTGGACAGTGAGAGAGAGAGACAGAGAGAAAGGTCTTCCTTTGCCGTTGGTTCACCCTCCAATGGCCGCCGCGGCCAGCGCGCTGCGGCCGGCGCACCGCGCTGATCCGATGGCAGGAGCCAGGAGCCAGGTGCTTTTCCTGGTCTCCCATGGGGTGCAGGGCCCAAGCACCTGGGCCATCCTCCACTGCACTCCCTGGCCACAGCAGAGGGCTGGCCTGGAAGAGGGGCAACCGGGACAGAATCCGGCGCCCCGACCGGGACTAGAACCCGGTGTGCTGGCGCCGCTAGGCGGAGGATTAGCCTAGTGAGCCGCGGCGCCGGCCGAAATTTGTATATTTTTAATAAAATTTGAAAAAATCCAGATGCTCAGAATCTTTATATATATATATATATATATACTTGTGTGTATAAATATATACTTTATAATATATATATATATACACTTTTATACTTGGAAATCTCTAAAGGAGATTGATATGGGATAAGGTAGGTAGTTAAATTAGGGCCAGGAGCTGGAAGCCACACCTCCCCCACCTTACGTAATCCTATCAGCCTACTTGTCAAATGACCCCTTTCCCAGGATGCACTGCCCCTCACCTGGGCCCTGAGGGTGGTATCACATAACCGCTCCCCTTTCCAGCCTCATCCTATGCTGACACCCGGGAGTTGCTTTCTCCCTTTCTCTGCACATGAGCATGAAACAGGGTGCGGCAGCATCATCTCTGCAGTTTCCACCCCTACTTCCTGGCCCACTCAGTTTCTGAACAATGCCCACATACGTGTGTGTGGTGTGCGGTTTGTTCTTTTTTTAATTCTTTTTTTTTAAACTTTTATTTAGTAAATATAAATTTCCAAAGTACAGTTTATGGATTACAATGGCTCCCCCCCCATAACTTCCCTCCCACTCGCACCCCTCCCATCTCCTGCTCCCTCTCCCATTCCATTTGTGGTGTGCGTTTTCTTCATCTTTTCAGTAAAGTTTTTCACTGTGTGCATCATGAAAACCAACCAACCACAGAGCACTAAACTATAAGGGGCCCCATGGCGCCCAGAATCTTAGAGATTCAGATTCACAAATTCTACCTTGTTTAAACTGACTTAAAGTAAGCACAGGCAGGAGGTCAAGTAGGACAGGCTAGCACCACGCAGTCTTCCCACATCAGCCACAGCACTGCATTCGCTTGGTTGAGGCGCAACTCCAAAGCAAGTTTTGGAAATATTTGGAATGTAGTAGAGCTAAGAGACCTCCCACAAGTAAAAACCCAAAGGAAAGCCTTCCAAAGACAACAGAGGGCAAGCGGGGTGGGGGGGTGGGGGTTCAACTCTTCCGTAGCTCCACATCCTGGCCAGCGCTGGGCTGGGCGGTACAGCCACATTATCCCATGCTGCTCCCAAGTATCACATGGGAATGAATGTGATCACAGCACGCAGGATTTGGAAGTGACAGAAAACACTCTAGTCACATCAGACAGAACAGCCATTCGAACCAGAAGGGGGAGGAGGGTGGAATATCCCTGTGAGTTTAATTGTTCACGTCTTTTGTCTAATGTCCCCAGCAAAACAAGAGCCCAGCTCTAGGCAGAGCTCTGGATGATATGAAGAGTTAAAATTGTATATGTGCGGGTGTCAAAAGTTAAGCTTAAGCTCACAGGTTTAAACCTTCCTGGTACAGCTGTGAAAATAAGACAGAGTAAAGCAGCACCTTGACAGTAGGGACTCCATTTTGGAGCACTTGAGACTGCATTCTGGGAAAGCACCCCCCCCCCCCCACCCCCGTGAGACTCTGGTCTGAAACTATGATCTTAAATAGTCGGACAATAGCAGTGCACTACATCACCCTTGGCAACGCACAAAAACCCCCTAGCATGATTGCTCAAGCTTAAAAGTAGAAAGGTTGCACCTGGGTTACCTGGGCTAATAATGAAGATGTGATTTGTCTATGTCTTAAAATCATAATTGCTGATTGTAAGATTTTAGCAACCGCTTAGCAACCATGTATTCTCTCCCTCCTTCCAATTTTGCAGTTTTTGCCTTTATAAACCCTATGCTGTAGTTCCTCACTGCTCCTCTGTCCTTGTCAGAGGGCCCCCACATGTTGGATCAAATTTAACCCTTTGCTGGTTGCATGAGAGAAAAAGTCTCTTGGAGTCGTTCCTTGGGCGGTGGGCTTTTTTTTTAGACCCTAACATTTGGAGGTTCCACCGAGATCTGACTGCTGCCTGTGGACGCCTCCAACGGATATCTCTCGGGGTGAGTAAGGCGCCTATTGTTTTGATTGAACGTGTACACTTTGATTTGTTGTTTGGTGAGGTTTGTTATTTGTTTGTAATCGGCAGCATGGTTGTCGGGCTCGAGCGAGAGCTCCACCCGACTGTGGCGGGCAGACGTGCTCCGGAGCCACAGACCACATCCCGGGGGACGCCCCGGGAGAAAGGGAGAACTGGGGACGCCCAGTGTTTCCTGTTTGGTGGGTTGCCTGCAGTAGGGAAATAGACTGCAGAGACTCACATTTTGTTTGTACTGCCGAAACTTTGGTATTTGATCGAGCTCGTTAGTCTTTTGTATTTGTTAAGCATTTTTGGGACGCCGTGATGGCTCCCGTTTGGTAGACATTTGTGTGGTCGTTGTATGCTGCTTCTCTACGCTGTTTGTCTGTTTGTGTACATTGTGTTGTCTGCTAACATGGGCCAGACTGTGTCTACACCTTTGTCTCTAACTTTGAATCATTGGTCAGAGGTAAGCCACTAGGCACATAACCTTTCTTTGTCAGTCAAAAAGGTAAAGTGGCAGTCTTTCTGTGTCTCTAAATGACCTGCTCTCAGAGTGGATTGGCCCCTGGAGGGCTCATTCCATTTACCACTCATTAGCCGAGTGAAAGAGGCCGTTCTCCAGCCTGGCCGTCATGGGCACCCAGACGGGGATTTTAAGAAGACATCGAAGGTCAGTATTCCTTCCCTCAAGCGGGACCGGATCTGTGGAAGTGACCGTTGAGTGTCCGGCACCCCACAGCTCTCCGAGAACGCGGAGTCCCCCCGGCCACGGCTTAGCTACGGCCGAAACTCCAGAGGGATTGTAAGGAACGGGAGGGAAATTAGGAAGGGCAGTTGGCTGAGAGCCTGGAGACCCCCTGAGCTCGCTTTGGCTTCCCGGCGGCCGGACTGCGACCCGAGGATCAGGTCTCTCTCTCGGAGGGACGCCTGGTCACGCTGCCTACTGCTACGCGAGCAGGGCTTAGCTTCGGTCGAGGCTAATATTGGCCCTTCAGGTAAACTCAGACAACTAGGTAGTGGGTAACCTTGAGCGATAGGAGATTTAAAACCCCACTCAGCCCCCAGACTGAGGAGCTTTATTGCTTTCTGCCTTCCTCCTTCTCCCAGGGGCTCCCTCCTCCACTCTTTTGCTCTCCTCATCTCCATTCCTGTACCACTGGCCAGGAGAAAGGGAGAGGAAAATTCCACAGGTCTCTCCACCTAGGGAAAAGCTGTTACCTGTTACCTGTTAACCCTTTCCAACCTGGTAGAAAGTCTTTGCAGCTTATGGTAGCTCTGGTGCGTCTTAAAGTTTTTTGTGAAGTATTACTGTTGCTAAGCTTTGATTGCCTAAGGACTAAATCTGGAAAAAAGCTAAAGTTAACTATCTGTTGTAATTGAGTGTCTGCAGTAGTCCTAATTAATCTGGCTTTGGTTAAATTATAGGAGGTTCCTAACACTCTTAGTAAAACGGCACACTTACCCAACCCCACGGTTAGTCCTGCCAGGCCACAGTGTGTGCAGTCTTCCCTGTAAATGGGGGACCACAGCCTTTCTCTGCACTGTATTCTAGTTCATGTGGCCTGCCGCACCCAGGCAGGCATAGCCAAATATCTCTAGGCAGAGCCCCCACCCCAGGGTTGCTTTTTCTCTCCTCTCCTGGAGGAATTTCCAATTCAATACTACTGCTGGTCTTACCTAAGGGCGCCAGAACCTTAAGCCATTAACCCTTACCAACCTGATGGGTTTTTCTCTTTGCAGCTAATAAAAACCTAAACAATGGGTTATTCATCTGAGAGCATTCACCTGTCTTGAAGGTTTCGTGTTTTTCTATTGCCATTAGAGTCTTAATTGCGAAAACTACAATGCAAAGTTGTTTACATTGTTTATCTGTTTTTAATGTCTGAGTGATTACCCAACTGATCAGAAATGTACTAATTTTGGCTAAATGGTTTGACTCTCTGACAGCTTAAATTCTAAACCGAGTCTTCCAACTTTGGGCTTCCAGTCGGATCCCTGGAACTCTCAAAGAATGAGACTCTAACTTTGTTAAAGTAACAGCTGCTTGGGTCAATTCAAATTATATAAAATATATTAAAATGTTATAAATGGTGTCAGACCTATGCTGTATTTATGTTTTTGCTTTCCAGCTAAAGTGGTCTTATAAAAATAAGAGTAAATTCTGTGTATACAAGCCTTTATGTTGTTAACTAAAGTAAGCCAATGCAAATTGGTTCAGAAAATTGAGGTAATGCAAACACCCTTCGGTTTGCTCAGTGGCTTGCTTGCTCAGTTTTACATGTCTTTGATATGCTTTAAACTTGTTTCTCTTAATGAGGAAGATCTTTTCAAAGTTGTAAACATACACTAGTGTTTGCTGTCCAGGAGGTGTTATCCTCATGTTACTTAAAAACATAAAAATGTAATTTTAACTTCTATTTCAGATAATGGTGTGGTATTCATTAATAACTCAGTGTCTTAAGACATCTAGGCATCAGTGCTAAGTAAAACTTGGGAAAATATATTATATATACTTTTAACATCTCAAATTTAATAAAAAAAAAGGTGTACTAATGTTAGTAAATATCTAAAAATGGTCTAAATCATAAATCTTGGAATCTGTTTCTGCAAAAACTGTAACGTCTATTTTAACAGTGTTTGCTTATTCGGTTACTCTGCCATTTCTAGAGTTAGGTCCTGTAAGCTCTTTTTTTTTGACTCTGTTAAATAATCCTAAATTATGTAAACTCTTATATACAAGGTTTTTTTTTATATCTGGTTTATTTGACAACAAGAGACATAAAATTCATGTTAATCCATTGTGTACTCTACTGTCTCTGTTAAGTTATGGTTATGTGGAAGATGCTAAAAAACTGGGTTCCAGAAACCCAAGAAAGCGCTAGTGTCCACAGGCTACACGGTAAATACCCGGAAGCCAAAGAATGGCAGAGACCTCTGCCACAATTTCTCCTCTAAGTCAGGCTACACAGTAAACACTGGTTAAACTGCCAGTTAAATCTAAAAGCCCAAAAAGTCAGGCTAGAGACCCAACTCACTGCCTCACTTCTCCTCTTTTCTCTTCCAGAAGGGAAGTTACTACTGTTCTGCAGGACTCTCCACTGTGATGTACGGTTTGATCCCCAGACCTTATGTAAGGGATGACTGACCTTTTCTGTAATAATGCCTGGCCACAGTATAGGGCCCTAAACAACAACAACAACAACAAAAAAGGTTAAAGTATAAAATAATATGACAACTAGATCAATTTTTCAGTGTAAAAAGTTACACTGACGACCTCAAAAGTATGCAAGCAGGTCACCACAGTTGATCTTACCTATAGGGTCATAGTTCTCCTCATGGGCACGGTCTTAACTCGCAGGAAAATACTAAGTGTCAGAATTTGCCCATGACCATAGTTTTTCTAGCTCACCCTGATATTTAAAAAAAATCTCCAAAAATCAGGATTGGGTTGAGCACCCCCTTGACTGACATCATAGAGGCTGCCTCCTTGGTCTACTTTATTAGAGACCAAAAAAATGAGGAGCAAGCTAGCAGCAGAGGATAGGCAACAGACCAATCAATGGCTGCTTTACACGGTGATTGCCATCAAGGAGACCCAGCAAGGCCAGTGCACCCCAAATGGCACCTGTTGCTGATATAAGGAGACAGGGCATTGGGCAAGCAGCTGTCGTGACAGCAAATGCCTTCTGTCAGCCCTGCCAAGAGCACGGCCACTGGACACGGAACTGCCCTGGGTGTCGAAGGACTCCTGGTTCAGAACCGCTGACCCTGTGGCCCCGAGCTAAAAAGCCTTTGGCTCTGCCCAGCCTCTGCCCAGCTTCCAGCTCCAGCCACTGCTATTGAGGGGATGGCCTAGGGTCAGTAAAACGCAAGTTGCCTATTTCCATCAGCCTTCTATTCAGCTCTCCTCCTAGTGCATCCATGTAATGCAAGTCAACAGGGTGCCTCCCTTAAAGGAGATTTGCATCTCTTTCAATTCTCTTCCAGCACCCCATGGACAGGTCTGGGCCTCACACACCCAGCCAGGCCTTAAAAGTCTATCCAATAACATTAAGCTTAGAAAGCCCTCCCTGCCAGTTCCTAAAAACAGGGCTTTCGGTAACAGCTAACTCAGATAGCCCTACACCGATTTGAACAGGTCCTCACTGAGGACTTAAAGGGCCTATCTCTTAAGGGGTGTGCACAATAATCCATAATATAAATGGTTAAATGTAAATAATTCATTAGTCTGTCCTTTTCCCAGCCTGAGACTCTAGTCTTGTACATTGGCTTAACTTCCTAGCAAAACTGGCTACTAAATATCAAAAAAAAAAAAAAATTGTCTCTGGGTCAATCAGACTAGACAGGCACAAACCCAGATTTGTACTTTTCCTGGAAAAAGCCAAACAGCTCCAGGACCAGGCCAAGCAGGGCTGGGATTTCTGGCCTGACATCTGGTCATGGAAATCCTGGCTATTTCCTCTCCTTGGCCCACTAACTTCTGCAATCTTGATGCTTCTCTTTGCACCGTGTGTTTTTAATGCCCTTGTTCGTTTTGTCTCTAACAGACTAAAAGCTGTTGAACTCCAAATGGTCATCAGGCAAGACTTCCAGCCCATTCCACTGGACGACTTGAGCAGCCCTCTGGACCGAGCAACACAGTCTTTCCAAGGCCACTGTTGCACACCATAAGACAGGTAGCAAGAGGAAATACCCAAATCCCCCTCGACGCCCACATGCCAGCTTCGAAGAAGTTACAGAAAACGGAACTCCATCCATAATCCCAAAGAAGAATTTTGGGTATTACCTCTTGAGGGGAAAATATTAGGCAGAAAGTCAGTTATGAGCTTATGTGTGTGTGACATAAAGGCCTAATGTGTCCAGCATATGCATCTGCATCTCAGTCATCCTGACAATGTTTCATGGGCAGCCTGGCCTTCGCATCCTGCCCTGCCCCCTTCTACCTGATAACCTGCCAGGTGGAGATGCCCGCCCCTTCTGCCTGACAAATCTTCCACAATCTCCCAGATGCAGCCCAGTATCTGCATTTCAGTATTACAGAACAGGCGGGGGTTAAATCTCATTTTCATGGGGGTGGGTTATGCGCGGCCCTAAAAAAAAAAAAATATATTGTTTTTATGTCAACTAAACTGGGGTGGTTAGAAACTCCATGGCCAAACTCAAAAAACGACTGAAAAAATGGCAACGGGAAAGGGAAACTCAACAGGGATGGTTTGAGTCATAATTCGGCCGGTCCCTGTGGCTTACTACTCTACTGTCAGCCCTAACAGGACCCTTAATTATTCTACTCCTAATTGTAACCATAGGACCTTGTGTGTTAAATAGACTCATCACCTTCATGTGGGAACAAGTTAAAAATGTTAAACTCATGGTTATAAGACAACAATATGTCACATTAAAAGAGACAAAAACGAATAATCTCTAAGATTAGAGATCCTCACAACAAGGAGTGGGGAATGAAGAGTTAAAATTATATATGTGCGGGTGTAAAAAGTTAAGCTTAAGCTTACAGGTTTAAACCTTCCTGGTGCAGCTGTGAAAATAAGACAGAGTAAAGTAGCACCTTGACAGTAGGGACTCCATTTTGGAGCACTTGAGACTGCATTCTGGGAAAGCAACCCCCCCACCGTGAGACTCTGGTCTGAAACTATGATCTCAAATAGTCGGACAATAGCAGTGCACTACACCACCCTTGGCAACGCACAAAAACCCCCTAGCATGATTGCTCAAGCTTAAAAGTAGAAAGGTTGCACCTGGGTTACCTGGGCTGCTAATGAAGATGTGATTTGTCTATGTCTTAAAATCATAATTGCTGATTGTAAGATTTTAGCAACTGCTTAGCAACCGTGTATTCTCTCCCTCCTCCCGATTTTGTGGTTTTTGCCTTTATAAACCCTATGCTGTAGTTCCTCACTGCTCCTCTGTCCTTGTCAGAGGGCCCCAACATGTTGGATCAATAAATTTAACCCTTTGCTGGTTGCATGAGAGAAAAAGTCTCTTGGAGTCGTTCCTCGGGCGGTGGGCTTTTTTTTAGACCCTAACAGATACACTTATGTATTGTCTGGTCTTTCAGGCGAGTGGTCATGAAAATATGTTGGTGCGGAGAGGCGATGTCACTACATAGCTTTAAAGTCATAGCTGCCTCTAAACACTGGCTACTAAACAAGGGACCTGTGGAATGCTCAGTTCTCTGCTTCTCTGCAGAAGTGTCTGGCTGCCTCCAGCTTTTCTCCTTAAAGGCAAGGTGAACCCAAATCACCGCCTCAGCACTGCAGGACGCACCAAAGCCATCCCCTCTCCCTATAAAAGCCTCTGGCAGAGATGGCCCAAAGATTTGAAACCAGCCCCCTTCGCCATTGTCTGGAAGTAACTGGGTGATATTAACAACACATTCTTTCTGCTAGACACACTCAGAATCCTATCTTTGAAAACTAAACACTGGCGATTGGTTGCTTTGTTTTTTTATGTCTGTTTTGGGTTGGGGGGGTGATTATGTAATGAGATTTTATAATCCGGGCCAGCATACCCAGCCCTGGGCTCTATCAATCCCCATCATTCCGCCTACTGCTCAGTTCCCAATGGACCTCCTAAGCACCAACATCCCCCAGCTGCATGGAAGCACCAAGGGCTCTGCCCCAAAGTCACTCCCGGTGGAGCTGATGCTGGCAGAACCTGCCACTTGATGACTGTGGCCTCCAAACTGTGGTCTCCTTCTTTGGCTTCCTACAAAGTGGGCACATGGCCCCCAGTCATTTTCCCAAGATGACCTTCCACATGGTCAAGTGACAAACATGGAAGCGTTTGTCACTTATTCCACACACCCTGCTCTAGCCTGCTGTAAAACCAGTCTGCCTTCTCGCTGCAAGGAATGACGCACACACATTTAATCCATTGAGTTCTTTGAAAAATGAGGGTGACGCCTTGATTTACTGTGGTTTGCCTACCCTACTCTATAATGCCAACAGATTATTGGACCTGGTGGCAGCCTTGTCCATCATGTTTTATTGCTGGGGCCATTCCTGTCCTGGCTGGGGAGCTAAGAGTGGAATTTTAACTATGAATTCCCTCATGTTTAATAGGCTCAAGTCAAAAGGCCAGGTTCTGCCTTCAGATACGCATGAACAACTTCCAACTGGAGCTACCCATGTGTATCTGAGTTTAGTTAAAATGCTCCAACACCCAGGCACTACTAAATCACATGCCTTTTTTCTTTTTAAATCTTTTTACTGTACATGTGGGAGGGGGAAACAGCATGTGTTCATTAATCAAAATTATTCACTCTTTTTATAGAAATGTTTGATTTTTAAGGGAATGAAGCCATTTAGACAATTTAATCTCCAGTTCTTCTCGGCCATTCCAGCTTTATACAGACCAACCACCGAGCCTCTCCAAGCTTATCTTGAAGGGCTCATTAGCCTCGACCCATCCTGCACAGGGGGACAGCTCTGGAAGAGAGGAACATATGACAAGCCTGGACTCAGAAGAAGCAAGGGCAAATTCCAGCTCTGATAATAACTGTAGTCATTTCATCCTCCCTAGTATCTATTCATCTGTAAACCGTTGACTCGGGAAAGTTATTGCATGAATCAAATAAATCACAAGTGTTAACTTTCTTTTCCAAGATAGTTTGTTTGCATTTTTACTTGGACAGTAGATGAACAGAAACCCAAAATGATGGAGACAGAATGGAGCAACCTACAAACAATGGTAGTGGGAGTATAAAATGGTTCAAGTTCTTTGGAAAGCATTTGCAATGAATGTTGATAATATTGAGCCTTTAAAATTGTGCTCTTTGATCCATCAAGTCCACATATGAAAATCTGCTATAGGAAATAAAATAAGGGGGAAATCATTAAATGTAAAGATTTTTTCGTAACACTTTCATTGTGGAAAATAAGTGGAAAAAAACATAAATGTTAAGTAAACAAGGGAATATTTATACATGCCATTATATTCCCTTAACAGAATGACAGCTTAAATTATTATGTTAAATGAATAAGAATTGGGGCCGACGCTGTGCCACAGAGGGTTAAAGCCCCAGCCTGCAGTGCCGGCATCCCATATGGGCACCAGTTCAAATCCTGGCTGCTCTACTTCCGATCCAACTCCCTGTTACATGCCTCAGAAAGCAGCAGAGGATGGCCCAAGTGCTTGGGTCCCTGTACTCATGTGGGAGACACAAAAACTCCTCAATCCTGGCTTTGGCCTTGCCCAGCCCCAGTCATTGTAGCCATTTGGGGAGTTAACCAGCGGATGGAAGATCTTTCTCTCTGTCTGTACCTCTCTGTAACTCTGTCTTTCAAATAAATAAATCTTAAAACAAAAACAAGAATTGAAGCACAATATTCTGTATGATCACATCTTTGCAACAAAACCAACAAAAAAGTATAAGCATTGAAAAGGAATGGGGCCCAGCGCTGTGGTAAAGCGTGTACAGCCACAACCTGCAGTGCCAGCATCCCATATGGGTGCTGGTTCGAATCCTAGCTGCTCCACTTACTATCCAGCTCTTAACTATGGCCTGAGAAAGCAGTAGAAGATGGCCCAAGTCCTTGGGCTGCTGCACCCACGTGGGAGACCTAGAAGAAGCTCCTGGCATTGGATCAGCACAGCTTGGGCTTACAGCAGCCATCTGGGGAGTGAACCAAGAGATGGAAGGCCTCTCTGCCTCTGTCTCTGCCTCTCTATAACTCTGCCTTTCAAATAAATAAATATTTTAAAAAAGAAAAATAATGGGAGGAAATAGAGGAAAATCTTCAACAATACTTGAGGAAAACCAGAAGATGCTTTGGGTAGAAGCAGTTTATGAACTTTTGCCCCCTTTGAATGTATAATACTATATACATTGGAGGCACTCAGTGTATACTAAATGACTCCTTATGAAGTGTTTTGCCTTTTTTCCTAATTAGCTAGGATAACCTCCCCAACTCACTTTCCAATTGATCAAAGCTTTACCCGAATTACCTCTGCAAAATAGTTTTGAAATATTTTTCCAGTGGTTTTACCTTATTTTTCCATCCAGTTATCTAAGATCATATTTAGGGTAGCACATTTGGCATTTGGTCAAATAGCAAAAGCTTGGGTTTAACCATTGAATGTTTCAAGGCCCAACATCAAAGGCATTTTCTAACACTGCTCCCTACATACAGCATGGCCTATGTCATTTGATCCTCAAGAATGCAGAGCAGCGGATGAGGACTATGCGTGGTTGGAGAGCCAATGTATATATTTCCATCAACAGGACAATGGGTGCACGCCAAACAAGCAAGTGGTGGTCGTTCCCAGAGTAGACAGCCATTTTCAGGGAAAGCTCATGGGCCTATTGAATTTTACATAAGGAGAGGGCTACAATAAATAAACTCATTAACTTACAGAAGTAGAACAAAGCATACAAAACAGGCAACCACTTGAATATTTGGTTTTCTCATTCATTGGATGTAATCTTTACTGCCTTCATATGAAAGCAACTGCAGTTGTTTTCTTTTGTGAAAATATTGTGAAATATCATTTTTCACTTCTAGCATGTCCTACAGTCCTCTCCATGGCTCACTTAGGAAGGTGACATTGTACTCAGCACACAGCGGAGTCATCCACCAGCAAAACGAAGAGACTGTGCCAGGGCAACCCACATAAGGATAGAATCTTACAGGGAGGCCTAATATCTCTACGGCAGAAATTAACTCAGTGCTTGAATTTCACATGGAAACATTTCTTCACATCTGAGTTCACTTAAGGAGCAAAAGGCCAAGCATGCACCTCAATTACAGGAAAATTAAAAGCTCCGTGAAAGCTC